AATTGGATTGGGAAGAGAAGGGGAAAGGAGGAAATAAGAGGTGTTCTGAGGTAGAAAACAGAGAGTCAAAAGAGGGAGAGAGTAATCAACACACTCCTGAATAAAAATGGGAACTGAATATTGGATTCTTAAATGTCCAAAATTTATATCACATACTGAAAAACAAAGATTAAAAATCTAGAGTAGACACTAGACTCTTAAAAATACAATATTAAAAACAAAAACAAAAACACAAAAAACTTTAGAAATATATATGAAGTTTGGTTTAAAAAATAGGGCTTCTCTCTTTTTTTTTTTTTGCAAGGTTATAGTGAAATGAAAATGAAAATTAAGGAGTAGTAGAGGAGTAATAGAGGACTTTAAAAGAAAATAAGAGAAAAAGAAAAAAAAAGAAAAAAATTTTTTTCCTAATTAAAAAAATGGTAAAAATATATGAAAATGAAAGTTAGGGAGTAATGGGGGAGTAATAGGCAATTTTAAAAGAAAATAAAAGAGAAAAAATTAAAAAGAAAACAAAAAAATTTTTGTTTGTTTTTTCATTTATTTTTATTAGTTGGAGGCTAATTACTTCACAACATTGCAGTGGGTTTTGTCATACATTGACATGAATCATCCAAGGAGTTACATGTATTCCCCATCCTGATCCCCCCTCCCACCTCCCTCTCTACCCGATCCCTCTGGGTCTTCCCAGTGCACCAGGCCTGAGCACTTGTCTCATGCATCCCACCTGGGCTGGTGATCTGTTTCACTATAGATAATATACATGTTTCGATGCTGTTCTCTTGAAACATCCCACCCTCGCCTTCTCCCACAGAGTCCAAAAGTCTGTTCTGTACATCTGTGTCTCTTTTTCTGTTTTGCATATAGGGTTATCATTACCATCTTTCTAAATCCCATATATATGTGTTAGTATGCTGTAATGTTCTTTATCTTTCTGGCTTACTTCACTCTGTATAATGGGCTCCAGTTTCATCCATCTCATTAGAACTGATTCAAATGAATTCTTTTTAACCGCTGAGTAATATTCCATGTTGTATATGTACCACAGCTTCATTATCCATTTGTCTGCTGATGGGCATCTAGGTTGCTTCCATGTCCTGGCTATTATAAACAGTGCTGTGATGAACATTGGGGTGCACGTGTCTCTTTCAGATCTGGTTTCCTCGGTGTGTATGCCCAGAAGTGGGATTGCTGGGTCATATGGCAGTTCTATTGCCAGTTTTTTAAGAAATCTCCACACTGTTCTCCATAGTGGCTGTACTAGTTTGCATTCCCACCAACAGTGTAAGAGGGTTCCCTTTTCTCCACACCCTTTCCAGCATTTATTGCTTGTAGACTTTTGGACAGCAGCCATCCTGACTGGCGTGTAATGGTACCTCATTGTGGTTTTGATTTGCATTTCTCTGATAATGAGTGATGTTGAGCATCTTTTCATATGTCTGTTAGGCATCTGTATGTCTTCTTTGGAGAAATGTCTGTTTAGTTCTTTGGCCCATTTTTTGATTGGGTCATTAATTTTTCTGGAATTGAGCTTCAGGAGTTGCATGTATATTTTTGAGATTAATCCTTTGTCTGTTGTTTCGTTTGCTATTATTTTCTCCCAATCTGAGGGCTGTCCTTTCACCTTGGTTATAGTTTCCTTTGTTGTGCAAAAGCTTTTAAGTTTCATTAGGTCCCATTTGTTTATTTAGGCTTTTATTTCCAATATTCTGGGAGGTGGGTCATAGAGGATCCTGCTGTCGTTTATGCTGGAGAGTGTTTTGCCTATGTTCTCCTCTAGGAGTTTTATAGTTTCTGTTCTTACATTTAGATCTTTAATTCATTTTGAGTTTATTTTTGTGTATGGTGTTAGAAAGTGTTCTAGTTTTATTCTTTTACAAGTGGTTGACCAGTTTTCCCAGCACCACTTGTTAAAGAGGTTGTCTTTTTTCCATTGTATATCCTCGCCTCCTTTGTCGAAGATAAGGTGTCCATAGGTTCGTGGATTTATCTCTGGGCTTTCTATTCTGTTCCATTGATCTATATTTCTGTCTTTGTGCCAGTACCATACTGTCTTGATGACTGTGGCTTGTAGTAGAGTCTGAAGTCAGGCAGGTTGATTCCTCCAGTTCCATTCTTTTTTCTCAAGATTACTTTGGCTATTTGAGGTTTTTTGTATTTCCATACAAATTGTGAAATTATTTGTTTTAGTTCTGTGAAAAAGACTGTTGGTAGCTTGATAGGGATTGCATTGAATCTATAGATTGCTTTGGGTAGTATAGCCATTTTTTAATTTAAAAAAAAGGTAAAAATATATCTAGGAATTTCTCTGGAGCTGTTGCGGTCAGTGTGGGTTCGGTTCAGCTTCAGATAGCTCCTCGTTCCAGCTTAGACTTCTCGATATCTATAGGCCCCTTCCGGTGTAGTCGGTATTACCTACAGGGATTTTAATCTGTTGTAGCAGTCCCTTCTGAAGCGGTTCCCTTTGTTTATTTGGCTTCTGTTTGCTGGTTTCTTCAGTGCCTAATATCCGCCCTGACACAGGCGGGTGGAGGTGGTCTCTGGTTCAGGTTTGCTAGTTCCATCGCGCTGCGGGGAGGGAGGGGCGCTGCTGTCCCCGTCTACGCTGCTCAGGCTCCCGGCTGCTCTATATGGAGCGGGCACTGCGTTGCGTGCGGTTCCAGTTTTCGGGTCTCCCACAAAAGCGCGGACTCGGTTGAGCCTGCGTTTTGTGCCTTCCCCGGCCCAAGCAGCTCAGGCAGCCAGGAGCTTGATGGGCGCACTCTCCCCGGGTGCGGTACACCTTCTCCCCTCTGCGGCACCAGCCTCAGTTTCTGCCCGCGCCGGTCAGGTGCGTGTGCCTTGAGTTTAGCCGCGACCCTCCCGGCGGATGTCGACCATCCAGAATCTCAGGACGTCTTTGGTTAGAAACTGGAGGGCTGTTTGCAGTGTGGTAGGGGATGCCGTCTTTGGGGCCGAGTTTGCCCCTTTCTCCTTCCCCCTGCCTCCTGCCTCTGGCGGGGCTGGGCCGGTCCACAGCCGACTAGCTCTTCTCTGGACTTGCTCAGACCCTTTGTTCTGTGAATAGCCGGCAGTGTGTTCAGGCCGGGTAATTTTCTCTCTCTCTTTTGCTATCCCACAGTTTAAGTTGGAATCTTACAAAATCTCTCTCCGATTGCCCTCAGGGCACTTAGGACCGGTCCTTACCCTAAGCAATGCCACCCGCTCCTCTCCGTTCCGCCCCCACTTGCTGGTGGCGGATGAGGGTGTCTGGAGTAATTTTCTGCTGGGAGTTGCTTTTAGGCACGTAATATGTGGGTTTTATTTATTTTTCCTCCCAGATAGGTTGCCCTCCGAGATTTGAAAACCTCCCCCAGACCCGCCAGTGTGAGGGTTTCCTGGTGTTTGGAAACTTCCTCTATTAAGACTCCCTTCCCGGGACGGATCTCCGTCCCTAGCTCTTTTGTCTCTCTTTTTATCTTTTATATTTTGTCCTACCTCCTTTCGAAGACAATGGGCTGCTTTTCTGGGCTCCTGATATCCTCAGCTAGCAATCAGAAGTTGTTTTGTGAAGTTTGCTCTGCGTTCAATTGTTCTTTTGATGAACTTGTAGGGGAGGAAGTGGTCTCCCCGTCCTATCCTCTGCCATCTTGGCTCCTCCTCTCTCAACACAGCATTTTAAATGAAACCTCCTTTTAAATTTGTATAGAGAAGGAAAAAAAAAATCTCTATTTTGTTTCTTCCTGCTGCTTAAGAGAGATAAAAATGTCTGGCACTTGCAGCTTATTTCTTCTGTTTGGAGACACCTGGCCTTCCTGCCCGTTACTCTCTCATGATTTTCACAGTCCTGACGATTTCTGCCAGGAGCACTTGATCCTTTTGTGTGATATCAATTCATTGAATCCAAACAGTAATTGTATGAAAACCACTCTTATTGTTCCCATATTAAAGATGTGGAAACTAACCTGTTGTGTTTGTGATATGTTTAAGGGTCACACTGTTGGTAAATAGCAGGGCTTGGATTCAGAGGTTTTGGAATTTCTAGAACTCTCCTCTCACTTGGGCTCTCTTCCTGTAGCTTCCACTCTGACTACACCGTGCAGCTAGAAGAAATCAGCCACAGAACGGAGCTCCTGTGTTGGAAGCAGTGAATGCTCTGTGTAAGGGGGTGAACTGCTCAGTCAGGCAGGACTGAGGAGAAAGTGGGAGGCAGAGTAATAGGAATCAGGAGCGGCCATCAACACCGCATGTCATCAGCTTTCCAGCAGGAGAGGACTGCTTCCATCAGACATTTATATCAATCATTCTGTAATGAGTGGGTATAGATTAGTTATGCCTATGACATCAAGACTAACCAATTTCTATAATTTCATAATTTCCCTTCTTTTTTTCTTTTTGGCACCCTCCACAGCTTATAGGATCTTAGTTCCTCAACCAAGGCTCCCTGAAGGAAAAACTCAGAGCCCTGACAACTGCACCCACAGAAAATTCTCAGAATTCCACCTTTAGACAAACATTTGCTAGAAAATGATAGAAGTGTTTCACAGTATAAAGTGAGCAAATACTATTTTGTGATAAGTATGTGTAGACAAAATAAGGATTTAAGCTTTCAAAATCAAAATTCAAGAAATTTATCTTGATAAATATTTAATATATAAAACAACTGACAATTTTAATTAAATAGGGAAATATATTTTCTAAATTTTAATACAATGTAAACATACACATCTTTTATATGGAAATATAAATATGATGAGATATAATATTACATTAACTAAAGAATAAATAAATAACATCAGGGCAGTCATCGCTTATGGATTGATACCCCTACACTTGAATACTTTGATATCTACTTGCTTATTACTAGTGACATGTATTGGCTGAGTTAATTCAATAAATTTGGTGGCTGAAGCAGTATTCAGCGTCTTCTGAAATGACCACAGGTAACTGTACAAGGGTGATGTGGCATCTTAGTCAGTGAGAGTCATGTCAAGGTGAGTTCAGGTCTCCATCCATCATTCTTAACCTTTCTTGCAAGCTGGTTGATGAAGAGAAGGATCTCATGATATCCAGTCTGACGATTTCCCAGGTGCAGGCTCTATATTCCTTCTCTTGCAGATAGACATGGATGCCCTGGAAGTACCTCTTCACGGCCTGTGTGGGGCCCATCCTTCCCAGGGCAGAGTCTTCCTCTCCCGTCACCTGCTGCCAGCAGTAGTCCAGGTCGGCCAGCTGCTGATGGAGCCCAGTGCGGAGCTGCTCCAGGAGGGTGGTGTCCCAGGCAGCAGAGGAGCGCTCTGTGTGGAAGAGGTTGAAGCTCTGCTGGGGCATCTCGTGGAGCACAGAGATGGCCTGGGCCTCCTGCAGCTGGCCGCCCTCCACCATCTCCTGGGGGAAAGCAAAGTCTTTTCTGTCCTGCAGACAGAAGTGAGGGGAGAGTCTCCTCATTTGGTCCAGGAGCCTGAGGATCTTCCTGCCAACCAGCATGTGGTTCTGATCCCCAGGTCACAGCCCAGGGATCCTCCAGGGCCGTAGCTGACCAGCACCAGGGCCATCAGTAGAGAGAGCACGAAGGCCATGGGGAAGATGAGGCTGCTGCTGGGCTGGCGGAGATGGCGTCTGGTGAACCTTGAGGTAGGTTCTCTGATGCCAAGCTTTCTAAGCAAGACCATTAAATAGGGAACATGGTAGTTCTCATTTTCTAATCATTTCTATACAGTTTTATTTCCTGTTTTGGTTTTCTGTTATGCATTTTCAATACAGTCAAAGAAATTTTCTTCCTTCTAGACTGTTAATTTTGCCTTTTCCTAGTGACTTCAGATGTACCCATCCAAATAGATATTTTTCAATCAAATGAGAAAGGTCTTTGTCTTGTCTGAATTGATAGACATTTGTAATTACACACGTTATTGCCCTTTATCTCTCATTCATATGTGTTGCTCTCCTCTCATTCATGAACACATTGTTGGCTTGCTCTTAGGCTCCATTTTTTCCTCTTAGTTTCCATAGGAAGCCAGGCTCTGTCAGCTGTATGATTTCCATATTTATAAGCGATTTACAGATCACTCTGGCAGTTAAGCTCTTGGAAAAAAATGATGAGTTTTCTTTAGTGTTTGATTTAGAGAAGAAGCTGACTATTATCAGTCCTTGAACTCCTCCCAGATTTCTCTTCCTTCTGGAACACATTCCTGCAAATCCCTGCCCTTCAGGGACCACGAGGGCAGATCTATTACAGACATCACCCTTTCTTTCCACCATTTTCTTACTGGAGACCTGTTGCCACCCACAGACTGGGCCAGTACCCCCACCAGAATCCTGGTTCTTCTCAGGGAACATGGGTGAGGACACTCTAATTCCAGGATAACTGTAATTTCCCATCAGCACCTCACTCACAAGGGAAGGATCACATGCAGCTACAGCCTGTCCTCTGGAGTAAGTGAGTCCCTTCCTCACCAGCAGGACTCCCTCCCTGAGGGCAGGCTCACCACATCCTGTGGATTTGAAAATCTCCTTTCTCTGGAGGGCTTGTTTATTTGTTGGGAAAATAAATTCTCTTCCTAAACCCCATCCTCTCCCCTGGAGTGTTTCTGTGAAGGACTCTAGGTCTTGGTGGTGACCTCCTCTTCTCCTGACCAGTTTCCCCAGGTGTCCAAACTATCAGCAGTGCTCAGATGCTGAGAGCAAAAGTGTGTTTGTGTAAGTTGGTTAAGGAATTTCCAACAGCAATCATTTTGTAGTAGATAAATAATATCTACTTTGCCAAGTATAGTTTTTATTATTTAATTCTTTTACTTAAACTCTTCAACACCTGTTCTGCTCAGAGTTTCTGAGCTGGAGGAAGGAGATTCAGTGCTGATGTTGTCTCTTGTTGGAAGCTTATGTCACAGAATCTAGTGAGTAACAGTCGTTTATTCAGGCAGTTGATTCCACCAGGCATCTCTGTTCCTCTGTTTCAGTCTCCTCTGAGAATGCTCCTTCTCTGGTTGTAATTCATGATGAGGTGAGAACAAGAAAGGGAAGTAAAGAAAGTCCAAGAGGTTGCATTACTTTCAAGAGGTTAGATTTTTTTTTTTTTCTCTTTGCAATTTTGCTAGAAAGTAAAATTGCACCATTGTTTTGTGGGCAACAAGAAAACAAGGGTAACTCTCACTGTCATGAATATGAAAGAAGGGAAGTGGTTTTCCCCTGACACAGTGATGTATGCTGGGTTAGCAAACTTCAGGGCAGCATAGCTGGGGCCTAGGCTGTGGAAGAAGGGAAGGATCAGGTCAATATGAACAACAGAAAGGCTGGGACATGGCTGCTTCTGATAAAAGCTCAAGGAAGGCCCAAGTCCTGAGTCTGTGGACTGCCCTCAGCTTTGTAAGACCAGTCACCTGATTTTTCTTTCCTTTAATCCATAAGTGGTCAGTATAAGGGGAGAAGGAAGCAGTCACACACACCAGCTCATGGGAGATGGGCAATCAGAAGCCCAGTTGCTCGAACACTAACCCTCTCTCACAGGGTCAAGGAGACCAGCCTTGCTGTGCATCTGTGACAAATCCACCTGGGCAATGAGAAGTTGCATTGAAAAAATTAGAATGAAAGGGAATGGAATGATTCCAAAGGATCCTGGTCTTAGTCTGGGTAACAATAATTATGATATTAAAAATGAAAACTGAATTTTATTGATTGCTAACCCTAATCTCCCTAATATCCCACCTTGTGATATGATCACATTGATGGGTTGTTTTTCTTCGGGTTTTTAAGAATTTTAAAATATTTATTTTATGTATTTATTTGGCCGTGCCAGGTCTTAGGTGCGGCATCCTGGATCTTCGATATTCCGTGCCTCCGATGGGATCTTTACTTGTGGCAGGGAAGTCTTTGTTGTGGCCTGTAGGATCTAGTTCCCTGGCCAGGAACAAATAATCAAAATTCTAGGAGAGTAGACAACTTTCCTAGAATCTCTTCCTCAGCATAGAGCTTCAAGTGCTGCAGAATTTCTCTCCATTATGTACAAGGCACTGCTCAAAAGAGAGGAAACTTGGGCTTCTGGGCTCTTCATAGTCCTGAAGGCATTCCGTCTCCTAGAATGAACACTTAGGAATTCAACATGCAGACCCGTGACTGTGTTAAGGAACTTGCAGGCAACCCTTCTCTTGGTTGGACTGAGGGTGGAAGAAAGGTTACTAATTTGCAAACTGTGTATTATTTGAGGTAAAGGATGTCTTCTGTGGCTGCTACTAAAGTTGTCTTGATATTTTAGAACACAAAATGAATGTCTGGTGTCGGCTACACTCAGGAGCCCCAGATTGTGTGAATGTAGAACTTCCTGCTGCTCCCAGTCCCTCCTCTTCATCAGCTCTGAGACCCGGCCCTCAGCTGCTCTGAGCACGTGCTGCCTCCTTCCTCCTCATCCTCCCTGCAGCGTCCTCTCTCCTGATCCCAGGACGGCAGACACCATCCCCGCATGACTCTCCTGGAATCCACATCACCAAGCACATTGTCACATGTGTGTGTGGTCAGTACACTTTGGTGACAGAATGAAGAGAGCTCTGTGAATTAACCCATGTTCAGTATTATGCCACTAATATCTGTAGACCACCAGAAAACAGGAGCTATGGTCCTGTAAATAACTGTGAAGAATTGAAACCTTGTGTATTAGACCCTTAAAAAGGAAATGCAGAGAGCTGTGGCAATTTCAAAATTGGTGGATTTTAAAAACTGTCGAAATAGACTATGGAGTCACACCTCTAAATTTTCTTTTAGACCAAAGAAGAGAGATTGAGCCTCAGGTTTTTCTTTCAAGCTGAGTTGACCCATATAGATGAATATCTCCTTTTGAATTGATACTTTTCCATGAGTATATTTCATTTCCAGTGTAATAACACAAAAGAAGCATCGAAGCTGTGACATTCTCTGATGCCCAGAATAGAAGGGATAAGTTTTTCAGTGGAGACAAAATTAAGAAAAGTGCAGAAAATGACAATTCTGACCTATTTAAAGATCTTATTTGCGGGAAGATGCTGGGAACAGCTGTAAAAAGGCTGAGACAGCCTGACATCTGCAGCATCCCCAAGCTCACCAGATGCCAACCCCTTCCCTGATGACGAGGAGGATGATGTTCTCCAGCCCTGGAGAATGGTAATCATCACCATTGCCACCCTGTGAGAGACCAGAAATTCCCCAAACTCAGCACTTCTGTGAAACTGAGTCCAAGGGCTCCAGCTCAACAAGGTGCTCAAATCTGCCTTTCTTGTGCCCCAGCGACCGGGAGGGCACTGCAGAACTCCCTGTAACAGACCAACTGGCCCTGCCTGCCCAGTGGACCTGTCTCCACGTCCAGCACCGCAAACTCCAGAGCCACGGGGAGAACCAGGGAGTCTCTTTAGGCAGGAGCCTCCAGCTGAGCTAGGTGCTGCCGGGGCCCAGGGAGAGCCTGGGGCCCCAGGAGCAGTGAGGAAGCTTCCTTTTCAGGCCAGACTGCCCAGGGGAGCCTTTCAGTGGCTTCGCTCAGAGTCTTTGATTTCTGCACCTGCCCCTGCGTTCATCCTCCCCTTCCTCAGAGGAGATTTTAGCCAGAGCAGTTTACACTGGTGCCCGTTTATGCTGCGATTGATGGCTGGAAATCTGAGCATGTTGTGGTATGTTTTCAGATTCTGGGTTGTTTCTGGGGAAAAAGACTAATTTGGAGAAAGGGGAAAGGCATCTAGATTCCAGACAGTAATCTAGATATTGGGACCATCCAGTGAGAAGCCTTGAGGGCAAGACTGAGACTTACAAGAACCCTTGCGGAAAGGGAAAATGATTTTATTTAATATAAATGGTAATTTCTCCTGTAACATTCAAGTAATTGAAAAATATTTTAAAATGTATAGATAAGTCTTAAACTCACACCAATTTAAATATTTTCCTTATGCCGAAACAAGACTTTAATTTCCTGGCTTCAGTGGAAGCCAAATCATGTGTAATGTTTTCAAAATTACTTCTTTATTCATCTCAGTTCAATTGAGCGAAAGCCATATTTGACAAACCTATGACCCAATAACTACCTTAAGGAATTAATCTCAATTTCCAAAATCTTTTTATCTTCTCATTTCTTTTAACTAAGGATCTTATGTTAAGATTTAAAATTTGTACATAGTTTTTCATTGGAGAGTTTTATTAACTTTTTAAAAATGTCATTTCATATAGATAAGTTACTTTAAAATTCATAATCAAGATGTTTTTTATTTCAGCATAATGTAGGTTTGCACTTAATACACCGTTTCCTACCTAAGAAGCATCTCGTATGCCAAGTGTGCTGACTGAATGGTGACTTGATGCCCACTAAACGTCTCGGTGTGCTTGGCACAGTCATGTGATTATTTTATCTGCTAGTAAAATTTCAAAATGTGCAGATA